CTGCCAGAGTGCCTAGCACAGTACCTGGCACCCTGCAGTTGTGGCTAATGAAAAAAAAAAGATAGTAAAGATGACTTGCACAGCTCCTTAGCTCACCAGCTACTCATGTCCCCCCACTGGTCTCCTGATATTGGAGTCAGGGCTCTTATAAAACCTACCACACATAGAAATTAGCATTTTTCTTACTTAGGTCTTTTGGGCTCATATTTTATTTCCCTTACTCCAAAAGCTTTTAGAACCAATCCCTTTGCATTTTATTTTCTAGGTTCCCAGTTGCATTATCCATAGTTCTTAACTATTTAGGCATAGGGCCAAAGAACTGGGGGTTAGGACGGCAATTTTAGAGACATCTTCTGTATCTTCACTTTGCAAAAGAGGAAACTGGGATCCAGGAAGGGGAAACGACTTGCTCAAGATCCCACTAGTTAAAACATAACCAATTCACTCATTCTGAGCCTCGACTCTTTACAATAGCATTTGGAAAGCAGAGTGTGTGTGTGTGTGTGTGTGTGTGTGCATGCACACATGCTTTCTAAGTGGTTCTGTCTTCTGAATGGCGTGTCCTGTGGACCTGAATTTTCTATACCTCTCCCTACTTCTGAGGGCTCTAAGTTTCTCCCCAGTGCTCAGACCAGACAAGAACATGAGGATAAAAATGTTTTACTGACAAAGTCCTTACCCAGAGCCTGATGGTGAGGAGAACTCTGCCAGGGCTTGACTTTGGCAGCCCAGACACCCTTAGAGTCTGGAGCTGAAAGAGAACTTTCTGCCCATGTCTTTCCTCTCCTTTACAGCGTCACATCCAGGCACTCCTGGGCCCTGGAAGAGTTGGAGTTTCGCACTTAATGAAACCTGGGGGAGTAAGTTAAACCATGAAAGATTCCTCTCCCGTGACCTATATTCCTGAAAGGGTTCTTAGAGAGTCACAGGCCCCTGGGCCTTCTGAACAGCCACCTGGGTTTGCTGAAGCGCTCTCTCAGGAAGGCAACCGACACGCACGCAGGTCATTAGCCAGTGTTCCTCCAGCACATGTTTGTTCACTACAAGAATAACAACCAGTACAAGTTGAGATAGAACATCTCTCGGGGGAATGATTTTTGTTAGAAGTAATTGGTGTGGGAGCTCTGGGTTCAAACGCGTTCCTGTGCTGTGGGACCTGGGAGAAGCTTACACCTTCCCGTTATGATGGGATCTTTCCAAGACGTGACTGGCCTTCTTGGACCCTGAGCGAGTGAGGACGGGGACAGGCTGGGGGCATAGACACTGTCAAGGCCGACTCCTAATCCTGCGTCTTTGCTGCTCTCTAGAGCGGTTTTATCTTTCCTCTCCTGTTATCTTGCTCTTCAAAGAGCCCTGCCTCAGGAACTTGGATTGAAATCTCAGCTGTTCTTCCAGCCATTTATGCAACATTGACTACATAATTGAGTGCTTGAATTCCCATATTCCATATGAAGAAGATATTACTTTCCTCATAGGAGATGAACAAGTCAATGTGATAATGAATGTGGGAAAAAATGTAATTACAAATTATAATATATTCTGTGAGAACTCTTACATATTTTTCACTTTCCCAGCCCCACCCAAACCTTCAAGGTTTTTCATCCAAATTTTTCTTGAAGGTTTTGTTTTCCCAAACTGTGTTGCTAGGGTATTTGGTTTTTTGTGTGCTGTAAATAGGATTTTAATTAATAGTTTAATTTTGGAGTCAAAGTGTTACTTTATTCTTTGTTATTGATAGATTTTAAGTGGCAACTTCATTTACTTCATGAATTTAAATTTATTCAGATACCCTAAATCTCTCTAAGCCAATTATGGGCTAAATAGTCATTACTCTTTGCTTAAGTTTTCCACTCTTCTCTATTTCATTTTATTTTATTTTCTTCTATTTCATTTTCAATAACTTCTTTTATGTGAATTAGAATATGCTCTGTCTTTGAAAGCTCTCCATGGACTCTGTTACCTTCTCTCTACTTGATATCTTAGCTCTATTGGTGTGTGGCTAAATGTTTAACAACAGGCTTTCCCCCAACAAAGATTCTCTTCTTGGCCAAACTCCAGCTAAGTTCCTCTAAGAATTCTTCTTGACTAAGTCACAATCTTACCTATGAAAACCAGAGACCCTCAGCACAAACGGCTTAGCCGCCCCTACCCAGTGGCCCCCGCACATTTTAGAACCTGAACAAACGCAACATAGTTTTTACAGCTAAGGTCTCCATCCCTAGTATGATCCTAGCAATTCGATCTTTCATACATTGCTCATCAGAATGGAAAAGCATGTGTCTTCTTTGAAAAACTGGAAACTTTTTATAAAATTACACATTTATCATGTGATCCAGAAACCCCATTATTATATCCAAATGACATCAAAATATGTCAGTGTTTTAGCAGCTTTATTAGTAGTCATCCCAAACTGGAAATAATTCCTGTGTGGCTCAGCTGAGAAATTGATAAATAAATTTTGCTTATCCATGCAATTGAATACTACTCAACAGTAGGATGGAGTAAACCACCGATACATACAACATACAGATGAACCTCAAATGCATTCTCCTATAGGAAAGAAGCCAGACTCATTTAGCAAGGGTAATATTCAGACTACATTTATATGATATCACAGAAAAGGCAAACATTTAAACTAAAAATGGATCAACAGTTGCCAGGGGCTGGAAGTCAGGTAAGATTGACCACAGAGGATAATGACATGGAGGAATTTGTGGTGATTGTGGTGATAGAATTCCTCTGTATCTTCCTTGTAGTAATGGTTCTATAGCACCATGTGTTTGTCAAAACTCTGAGGCATTTACACTAAGAAAGTGAATTTTCATGTGTGTGTGCATATGTACATACTTAATTTTAAAAGGGAAAAAAAGGAAAAAAAATTTTAAGCAAACTACTTATGCTCCCTAAACATAATTCATAATTTTTTTTTTTACCACTGTGCCTTTGTTAATGCTTATTTTACTTAAAATTCTTTAGGTTTCAATCTTGGTAAGAAAACTTCTACCTTAATACTTAACTAAATTCCTACCTTTTCCTTGAAAATTTCCTGATTTCTCAAACTAGTAATGATTCTGCTGAATTTTTTTTTTCCCTGACATTTCGATCTTCCCTGCTGTTGATAAAATAAATTGATACAGTCACTTTAAAAGTTGTCTGGCAGTATTTCCTAAAGATGAATTTATACATATCCAATGACCCAACAAGTCCACTACTAGATATATATACCCACCTGAAATGAGAACATAAATTCACTGAAAAGCATGTATAATAATGTTCAAAGCAGTGGTATTTGTAATAGTCAAAAATTGTAAATCACTACTATGCTCATAAAAATAGCATTAAATTGTAGTATATTCATGTAATAGAATTTTAAACAGAAATGAGAATGAAAGAGCCATGACTGAATAAGGCCACAAAGGCCTTCATGGCCACAAAGGACAAAACAAGAAAGTAATGAGTTAAATAGGATTTTAGAACCATATGATGTTAGTAGAGAACATCACCTAAAAATAGCTTACCTACCCACCACAGTTTGTGAAAAAAGAAATAGAGATCTAGAAAAGAGAACTGAATTTAACACATAGTGGCTAAGTATGGGCTAGTAGTCAGTATTACTCAAAGAGATTTAAAAGACAGATGTGGGACAAGTTGAGGTTGGTTGTATATAGAAGAAAGAGGTGAGTTCAAGTAGAGTAGATCAAATCACTGTATGAAAGAGCAGGTTCCAGAAGTGATTAGAGTCAGGGCGGAATCATTGAAGATCAAAATATGTTAGCAATAAGAGTGGACAGCATTCATTATATTTTTCATCCTTTAATCTTTTTTGAATACTCACCATGTTTAGACACTTGCTAGATTCTGGACATATAGCAAGTAACAAAATTGGCATAGTTTCAGACCAAATGTAATTTATAGACTTGTAGGAAAGATTGACAAGTTATATCCATCTATATATCTATCTATATCTACATCTATATGATCTATATCTACATACACATAAGTGTGCATACACATACAATTTGTGATGCTTATTTTGAAGGAAAACAAAACACAATTCAAAAGAAAAATACAAATAATATAAATTGGATGGCATTTGAACAGAAACTACACATTTAGAAGGAGTGAACAAATAAAGTGTTGGGAGGAAAAATAGAGCAAATTTCCTGAAGCCATAGAGATCTTAATGTATTTGAAGAACTCAAAAAGTTCTGGCATTGGCAGGGAATTTAAAGCCATAGGAAAACTCCAAGCATCTAGGAAAACAGGACAAAGGAGACTGAGAAAGACAGATAAGAGGAATAAAGCAAAAATCAACAGATAATGATGATATGGAAGCTGTAAGAGACAAACCTTTTTAAGAAGAAAGAACTAGTGTATCAGGTGTATCAAGAATTCAAAAATAAGGAAGGACAAAAAGGGTCTAATAGGCTGGGCAACACTGAGGTCATAATAGCCTTGGCAAAATATTCGTTGAAAGGTCTGAGCCAAAGTCAGATTGGAATGGGTTGAAAAGTAAGTAGGAAGTGAGGAAGAAAGACAAGATTGTATCATTAGTCACGTCGAGAGGTTTAATTGGAAGAGTGAGCAGAGAGAAGTACACCTCTGGTTGGCTGGGAATATACGACCAAGGAAATGTTTGTGTGCTTGTTTTTGAGAAGGGAGATGCTAACGCATTCTTAAATGCTGGAAGTACTGATGAAGTAAAAAGTGGAAAGCATAAAGATGTAAGGAGACAGAAGAAAAACATGAAGAAATAAAGTATTTGGGAAGGAAAGGGAAGAGAGATCCATAGCGTGTGTGATGATGGGAAGATTATTCAAGGTCAGGGCAAAGGTACTTAAAACTTTTATGAGCTCAACAATGAAGTGGAGGAAGGTCACTGGTAGGAAATCAGGGGCGCACGGGACTAGCTCTCCCCGCCTTCCAGAAGATAGTCTTCTTGACGGCCTGAAGGAGTTCCCTGTTACGAAGGCTGTAGATAATCGGGTTGACGAGTGGCGTCAGTCGGAGTGGATTACAGCAAGTGTCCGGTCAAGGCTCAGTGAATAGCTCTTCTCCAGGCGCACGTACATGAAGATGATGCTCCCGAAGACGAGGAGGACCACGGTGAGATGGGAGGCGCATGTAGAGAAGGCTTTCTTTCTTCCTCCTGCTGTTTTTATCCTCAGTACAGCCCCAATGATTCTCCCATAGGAAACCATAATAAAGAGAAAGGTGATGAGGATGATGAAGGCATTGACGGAAAAGTCCACCAGGACATTGGTGGATGTGTCCGTGCAGGCCAGGCTCAGCAGAGGTGGGAAGTCACAGAAAATGTGTTGGATTTCATTACAGCCACAGAAGGGAAGCTGGGAGACCAGGATGACTTCGGAAATGGGACACAGAAAACCACAAGCCCAACAACCGGCAGCCATCCTGCCACAGAGAGTTGGGGTCATGATTGCAGGGTAGTGGAGGGGCCGGCAGATGGCCAGGTATCGGTCATAAGCCATGGCTGTGAGAAGGTAGCATTCAGAGGCCCCTAGGGAGTGGAAGAAATAAGTCTGAAGGAGGCACCCTGCAAAAGATATAGTCTTCTCCTCACTGAGAAGATTAGCTAGCATCTTGGGGATGGTGGGGGCTGTATAGCACAGCTCCAGGAAGGAGACAACACTGACAAACTGGTACGTGGGTGTGTGCAGGGCTGCATCCAGTCGTATGACTAAAAAGATCAGCAGGGTGCCACACATCGTGAACACGTATGCCAACAGCAGCAGGGCAAAGAGCCAGCCCCTGACATGCCCCACCTTGGGGAATCCTAGGAGCACAAATTCAGCCAGGCTTGAATGGTTGTGTGGCTCCATGGGAGGCTGAGGTGGGAAAGGAAAGGAGAAAAAAACCAGATTGAGGTATTGAGGTAACTGCCAAGTCCAACTCAAACCTTTATTTCTCTTTATTGCTTTTTTTTTGTCCAAGGCAGCCCTTTAGTTTTTACTATTGCTGCTGCTACTATTACTACTACCCTAAAAGTAATAATAGCTGACTCAGAGTTCTCACTATGCAGCAAGCATTTTTACAAGTGTTTCGTGTTCAATATTTTACTAAATTTCCAATGAGATAAATACCATGGCTGTAACTGTTTTTAGAGAACAAAAATCAAGCATAGCAGGAATGGGGAGGTCATGAAACATTTCTATTTCACATAGATACCATGTCACAGAAACAGAGTTTGGACTCAGGCGTTCTGACTCCATGCTGTTCGCCTCTGTACTAAGTGTCCTCCCCTGACACTCCATCTCCTTCCCTAAGTCCTCGTTTTTCCCTCAATCGAGTCTCAAAGCATGAATTTTGCACATGAGATTAATGCAATGGTAAGTCTTTTCTTACTGTTCGGTTCACCCCCATAAACATTTATCAAAGACACATGTGTCAGGCAGAAGAAATACAGAATTCAACAAGGGGCGGTCCCTGCCCCCAGGGAACTTACAGCCTGAGTCTCAGGGGAAGCAAGACACGTCAGTCAGTCACTCAGTGTACCTGAGGAGATCAGAGCACTAGCAACCTAAGGGAGGGGCTGGCTTCCCAGGCCAGGATGGCCTGGAAGGCTTCTCGGAGGAGGAAGCCCCTGCGCTGAATGTTCAGGAAAAGTAGGAGTTACTTGGATCCAAGAGAAAATAAACACCTCAGACAAAAAGTACATGCGCAGATACTGAGCAGGAAGCAGGGAAACCCACGTGTCCGCGTGCTGCAAGGCCACTGGGAAAGGCCACCTGATGATTTGGGACCTTATCCCGAAAAGAGTGGGGAGCCACTGAAGAGCGTTCCGTAGACGAATGACACCGTCAGACGTAGATTTTAAAACATCGCTGACAGCTAACTGGTCCAGCCTCAAGCTCAGAGATGAAGGCCTGTGAATTCGCCTTGTGGGTCTTGCTGATGGAAGATGAGAGGGGTGGTTAACAACTCTAGTTGAGAGAATTCAGACTCCAAAACAAACCTGATAAAGTGGCATAAATTCCACACTATAAATATAAGTGAGGAATACAGAGCTAACTAGGTAAAACCTCAAAAAAAAAAGTATTGGACATCCTAATTGTTCTCAAACACTATGTGAAGCACATGCAAAAAAGAAAAGAAACCATCGTAGCAAAAAAAAAAAAAAACCCGCAACGTGACTTTAAATGCATGAAAGTGGCAGCCAGTGTCATTCATGCTATGCCCTTTGTACAGGGCACCGAATTTGGAGGGGGCTGTCCCACTTCTAGGCACCATGATGGCAATCTGCAGTCTCTTCCTTATTTTTGTTCCCAGTACTTGGCATAATGGCTGTCACATTAAAGGTATTCATTTAAAAATAATTGTTTATAAGGAAAATTCCCCACAAGTGTTTCACACACTTAGAAATTTTAATAACACTTAATAAAACAAGAACTCAGATGCCAAACCATGAAAGAAGAGAATGAGATTAAATAGCTGATTGTATAGCTCTGGAAACAAATGAAAAGCTGACATACCCTTATTATGAAACTGGTAAGTAAATTAGAAATAAAAGAAACCAGATAGACACAGCTACAAAATGAAAAGTTGACATGAAACAGGCTAATATAATCACAGTAAAAGACTAAGGATCAGTTACAAAATAATCAATATAGAGGACAAAGATGATTTAACTTAAAGATAACTGGTACCTCTACAAAGATACTCAATGATAAAAACTCAGTGAAAGAACAACTTCTCCTTGAAATGGGGCAAGAACTAAATCTGTGGACCATAAAATCATACCATCATGAAACAAAAACTGATGCACAAGTACCGAAACCCAGGTGTTAATGTATATGCATGTGTGCATATATAGAGTATCAGCTAAAACTACATTATATAGCATATGTAACATTATGTAGTACATGGATTTTTTATATTTTTTCTTCTACATGGTAAAAAAAAAAAGTCAAGCTGGTCTAACAGTTCTCAGCAACAACTATTGCCAGAAAATAAAAGGGGTATCTATAAAGTTCTACAAGAAATAAAAATATGACTGAGGCATACTATATCCTACTAAATTATCTTTGAAGTATAAAGGCAAATTTTGTTAACATAAAAGAATTCAGGGAGTAGGAAATCTGCAAGTCCTCCTTGGAGAACAATTAGTGTACAATTAAATCCAACCAGTGAAGACCTGAACAGAGAATCTGGGCCCAATAGGTAAAACCTACCTACCATTCAAAACTACCACCATTCAAAGGCAGAAGATGCACAAAGCTCTGAGGGAATCGAATTTAATATACCATTGCTGACTAACTTCACTCAGGTTAAGAGCAAACAAGCCACCTTAGATATTTTCACTTGTAGCTGTGAATATACCATTTGACTTAATCCTCAGGAACAAAAGGCTCCATACTGCTATCAAAATTTTATTTCCCCCAAAATACAATTAGGCCTACAAAATGATCCTCATGTAAGCCTTATTCTTTTATACTCCCATAATACTGCTCACCAAAAGATTCTGTTCCTGTATATTACCACAACAAATGATTTAGTAATATATTTCAGGAGCATTAAATAAATCCTCATACATTTTGACCCAATAAATTAGCTTCTAGGAATTTGTGTTAAAAACAGATATAGACACAAATTATTTCACTCACCTGTGGAGTATAAGAACAACGAAAAAGCTGAAGGAACAAAACAGCAGCAGAATCACAGAACCCAAGAACGGACTAACAGTTACCAAAGGGAAAGGGACTGGGGAGGATGGGTGGGAAGGGAGGGATAAAGGGGAAAAGGGGGCATTATGATTAGCACACATAGTATAGGGGGTGGGCACAGGGAAGGCAGTACAACACAGAGAAGACAAGTAGTGATTCTATAGCATCTTACTGCACTGATGGACAGTGACTGTAATGGGGTGTGTGGTGGGGACTTGATAATGGGGGGAATCTAACAACCACAATGTCGTTTGTGTAAGTGTATATTAATGATACCAAAAAATATAAATAAATAAATAAATAAATAAAAGAGATATAAGCAAATATGTATGCTTATTATAGTCTTTACAACAGCAAAATTTTACAGGGAATACAGACCCCAAAATAAAGAAATAATCAAATCATGGTATATAAAAAGAATATTTATATTTTTCAAATTGTGACATCAGAATATGAACACAATAGAATAATAGAAGAAAAATGAGAGTTCACACACATATGCTAAGATTCAAACTTATTTAAAAAATGTGTACATGAATATAAAAGATACTGGAAGGAAATACACACTTATTTTTCCTGGATTGTGGTTTTAGAAAAATAATTTATTCTATTTATCAAAAAAATTATGATGAAAAATTTAAAGAATACAGTAAATACAAATTAGAGAAAAAAAATATTCTCCTAACCTATGCTATTCCAAAATATTATTAACATTAGATGAACATATTTCCAGATCTTTCTGTTGTATACAACTTCATGTGTATAAGGTATGTAACAATGAAAAATGACTATATATAGATCTACCTTTAAAATTTTTTTAAATCGCTTAATCAAATGAATTAATTCAACAATTTAATAATTAGTGCCTCCCTCCCCCTCAGTACTTTCCCTTCAACTCATGCCGCTCACCCAGATCCAAACATTGCTCCCAAAGCCAAATGCCCTGCAGTGTAAATAAACTTCTGGGTTTAATATTTTAGGATGCGAAATTGACCCAACGCAATTAGGGTTCAAGGCTGTCTTCGCAAATCTCTTCTAAAGGGACTGTGCATCCACCTCTCCAATTACAGGTGACAAATACAGTAAAACAAAAATCTGCTTTGTTACATTTCTGGCATCTATGCCCCCTCCCAACTATTTGCATCTGGTTTGCGCCTCTTTCTTTTTTCTCCGTCTGGCAACTGCTTCCCATCCTGCAAAGTCAGGTCAAACATCAGCTCTGTAGAGAAGCCTTTCCTGACTCCCTAGGAAAAAAGTTGCTTAGTCCTTCTTCTGTGTCCTCATAACATTTACCAAGTCAGCTTAGCATACTGTCTAACCTTTATAATGAGTGTGTCTTCCCTGTATTGCCAAGATATTTGAGCGTAAATGCAGTACTTCACTGATTTTTGTAGATCCCTCTACCAAAGCCTAGAGCAATGAGCATAACCTGTGAACTCAATGTTTCTTGAATGCACTTGACCGTTTTGTAGGCTGAGTGAAGTTCTGTCTTTCAGTGGCACCTCGGCACATCCTTCTTGTTGTCCTCCTGGCACCTCAAACTCTGTATGCCTAAATAAACTGAGCATCTCAAATGTTGTCTTTCCTCCTTTCCCCAAATGCTGTTGAAGAACCCATATTACTCTCATGTACCCAGAGAAATTAAATTCAAGAAATATTTTTGATGGTCTTTGGTGGGTTGGCAACTGTTATTGAAGATGTTTTATCTTCCCACAAATTAGCTTTTCTGAAGCTAACTGCAAGTGCAGGTCGAGAAGGTCTTGTAAACATGGAATAATTTCAGGGACGCTCATGAGGCTTCTGGATCATAAATCCTTACATCACCAAGAGAGCCTGCCCATGGCTCTTTCTAGGTGAAATCTTTTCAAGTACAGTTGCTAATGAGATGATATAACTCCTCATTAGACATTCTTAGAGCCCCTGTGTCATGAATGACTTCTCAGAAACCTCTACTTTCTGCCATTCATGCCAGCACACAGCCAGTCTGTGGCAGCATGCAGGGCAACTTCCTGTCAGCATATTCAAAGCAGGTATCAGCCAAGAATGGGGAGGATGGTGGATAAGATGGCTTTTAAAATCTCTTCCAATCTGGCACTCTGTGATTCTCAAAACTAGACATTCCAAGCCCCAGGTATTTAAGTCACCTTTCTACTAAACCA